TGGTGAGCAGTAGCAGTTTGCGCTGTACTAGCTCAACGCTTAGGTCGACCACTGAGAGTCCTACTTCTTAAGAGAGATATTTGTAAGCTCCTGAGTAGGTGGACGATGACGAAAAGATTTGCAGATACTGGTCGGCCAAGAGCTCAGCTGCTTCAGTGTCGCCATTAGTCAGTCCGTTCGCACCTAGTAGTTGAGTGACTCCCGCTTTAGCCTGCCGGAATCAAGCAGCGTAGCAGAAGAGACTACTTGGGTTAGACACCACATACATGTTTGTAAGCCTAAGTTGATGCCGCTGCCGATCGGTCCTCAAGATCTTCGTACACATGTTTCTTGTCTGTAGGTATATTCGGTGCCAATCCTTTTGTGTTCAGCCCAGTGATGTCTCTTTAACTTAAGTAGCTTGCGAGTGTGGTTCCTTATTACCTCAGGTGACCTGGGGCATTTCGGCCTCGAAAGTGGAACAGACTGACTGATCGCATGCATGATTTTGTCAAGTATGAATTTCCAATGGGTGTTCATATCTTGCCATGCATGGTTAACTTCCCAATCTGTCTGTTCCAATGCGGTTAGAAGAGCCGGAGTGTTAAGTCGTCTGAAGTTCCAACGATGTTCATTGAAAGGTCTGATTAGATTGGTTTTGTAAACAAATCGGAAGCCGATGACAACGTGGTCACTACTGCTCAAAGGAGGTAGGATTGCTAAGTTGTCTACCACGAATTCTTCATTTGTGAAGACGTAGTCTAAGAGAGATGGGGTTTGAGCCTCCTTAACTCGCTTTACCATTCTCACGTTTTCCGTAAGCCTCAGACCCTCAATCAAGTGGAATAATCTGGCTTCAGTGGAATCGTCACTCCCGCTAAATATGTGGTATACAAAGTTGACGTTCGGTAGGTTAAAGTCTCCTAAAATCAGTATGTATGTGTGCCGCAGTTTAAGAAAGCAAGTGATTGCCTCTAGTATCTGGTTGTCATACTGTAAGTCTGCAGACGGCTTTCTGTAAATGACTCCCACCGAGCACTTTGTAGTCTTGGGCAGCTTTATGGTGCACTAAATGGACTCTTCAAGGCATTCCAGTTCTTGGATATGGATTTGGTGGACTGAGAGAGAGGAGCTGACGTAAAATGCTACCCCACCCCTACCAGCCTCCCTGTCATTGCGAAACAGCATGGTATTAGCAACTGCCAGCTCCTGGTTTGAAATGTCAGGCGAAGCCCATGTCTCAGTAACACAGATAAGGCGAGCATAAATGTCCTTACTTAAGTCCCGCAGCTCGCCAAGTTTGTTCAGTAAACTTTGTGCATTAGTGTAGATGCAATTTATGCCCTGTACTTGGAATAGCATACCTGCACGCTCTCTATTTTCTAGTTGGTTGGATGGATCCTCAGGCTTGAGGGCTGGGAACGTGCCTAATTTCTGACTACTAGCGTAGTGTTCCCCGCCCCTTCCCAGTTTTTTGCATCTAGACAGTCTTCCAGAGATACAACTAGTTCCCGTTTTTTCTGTTTTCGTTGCAGTCTTTCGTGCTGTGACCTATCAGGCCGCATGCGGACTGCAGATCTCAGGCGATTTCTGTTCACCCAGAAAGCCTCCAGTGTGGATGCTGCCATCTGAGAGGTTGGAAAGACCACTTTTATCAGCCTTAGTCTGGGATCATAGTCTTCTTTGTTGGGTGTGTGAGACGCTTTGGGTGATTACTTCCTGGAGGTTCATAGTATTCTTGAGGAACTTCCACTCGCGAGAATCGTAGTGAATACCCTTGGTGCCTGGGTTCTCTGGTATGCCTTGCACTATTAGGTTTCTTCCTCTGAAGTAGGAGTCACGATTGTCGCCCGACAGATTCTTTAGAGCTTTTCTCTCAGAATGTGGTATATCCGGCAGTATCCTAACTTCCTCTACAGCTTTCAGCACGTGAGATGCTAAGAGTGCATCCTCGACACCGTCTGGGTTGCAGAATGTGAGCCTCAAAAGACAGGGTTTGCCCTTAGTTATTGGATCGGGACCGCGAGAGTCTAGTCGCCGCTACTGATTTTATGTGGTTCAGCTTGAGTTTTCTGCATATGTTCTCCCAAAGAACCTTATCATTCTTGTCCTGAAGGCCACATGGTAGTTCAGGGCTGTCTTTTAGGTTCATGACGATCAATGAATCATGCCGGACAGTGGTATGTCTTGTCAAGTGTTGACGCTCGGTCGTTTTTGTTGAGCTTTCATCTTTTCTCCAGCTTTGCCCTCATTCGTGCGCAACACGTTTGCTTGTTTGACAAGCTCATTAGTGACCCACATGTTCTGATGTCTATTTCACTTTCCTGAGGACCCATGTTTAGCCTTCCTGATTTCCAGATTACCCAACTTGGGTTTGTTCCTTGGGTTTGTCACCTTCTCAGACCCTGGAGTTGAAACTCGCTTGTTTTTATTTCGTGCAATGTTTGCCCATTCTCCATCTTGACCATCCTTGTTTGGTATGGTCGTTTTATTTCGTGTCTCATCTGTTGATGATAAAATCCAAGTGAAAGACTGTAGGACAGTTGATGTTATTGTACTACTGAGGTGCATCATGTCCTCCGTCAAACCAGACCCTTACTCTTGTCAAGTGACTTGAACACTTTTTCCACTAGACGATTTTCTAACTCCATAACCCTCGTGGTTAGGCACTGTTTTTGAGTTCTGCAGTGGAATGTTCAAGACTATTATTATTAGAGATTTACACAAAGTAGCAAGAAACCTTGAGTAAAAAATGGTTTTTGAACCTTTTAAAAGTTTAGTCAGTTGGTTACATGTTGTACCAGTTCCACAGTTCCTCACAAAAAATTTCTCTTCACAGTCAATCTCACCGATATCATCCTAAGTAATAAGCTCAGTTCTCCTGTGATGAAGTTGTTGTTAACCTTTAAAGTAATAATAATTTTCAACAAGTTGAAAATAAGTTTTACAGTCAATATGATACTTACAATTCACCAATAGAATGTCTATGAATGACCCAGTATTCATCATAAGGTCATAGGATAACCATTCTGATTAGTAGTAAATGTCTTCCGATTATTATTATTATTATTATTATTATTATTATTATTATTATTATTGGTCCCTTGGGTTCCTAGTGGAACATAGGGCTTCACTAGCACGTCTCCACTGCACTCTGTTCTCTACAATCTTTTGAACCTAGCTCCACCACTGCCCACAAGCTCTCATTTCCTCCTCACACAATCTCCTCCATGCCACCCTCAGCTGGGACGCCCAACTCGTCGCTTCCCATCTCGGTTCCACTCGAGTGCCTGGCCTGACGCGTGATGTCCCCAGTCGGCTTTCTCAGTGCATGCCCAATCCATCTCCACTTCCTTCCAATGAATATTTGTTGCCTGACAGGTTGTTGGTTGGTTCGTTCACACAGCTCCTTGTTGCTTATTCTTATTATTTTGGCCATGTGATCTTCAGTAGCGAACCAGCGTAGGTGGCAGTTGTTGATGAATGTCTGTAGTTTATTGGAAATCCCTTCCGTAACGTGCCAAGTCTCTCAACCATCACATACAAGCACTGAATTGACTGATATTGGTGTTGAAAATCCGGATGTTGTTCACGCTTCATGCTGAGTGCAGTGCAGAGGATCTGCACACCGGTTTCAGGTTAATGAACGCCTGTCTTGCTGTCTTTCCGATCCTGTCTGACTTTGACATCCCCGTCTGTGCCACCGATGCCTGTAGTTGAGACAGTGCTTCCTAGATAGATGAAGGAGGTTACTTCTTTTGAGTTCCTCCCATTGATGGTGATTGGAGTTTGTTGTTGTTGTTGGTGGTGCGGTATCTTCATCACCTCTGTCTTCTGTATATTCGCCTGAAGTCACGTCTTCGCTGCCTCACCTCTTCTGTCAACTTGTTAGTTTTCACCTGTAGATCTTCAAGTTTGTGTGACATCAGACACAAGTCATCGGCGGTGAAGTCCAAGTCTTGTAGGTTCTTTTCCCTGGTCAAGTCAGCGTATCCCCCTCTTCTCACAGCTCCCCACTGTTTGCTGCATGATCCAGTCGAGTCGACCACAATCAGGAATATCATGGGTGATAGTAGACAACCTTGTTTCACTCCTGTCTTCACTTTACTTCAAAAGCATCACTGAGCTTCCCATTGTGAATTACTTGGCTGGCATGTGGCGTCTTCATATAGTTGTTGAATGAGGCTGATAAAGGTTTGTGGTATTCCGTAGTAATGAAGCAGTTTCCAAATTACTTCTCAGTCGACGGTGTCAGAGACCTTGTCAAAGTCGATAAAGTTGAGGTGTAGAGTTGACTGCTATTCTATACTCTGTTCTATGATGATGCGAAGCGTGGCAATTTGGTCCGTACATGATTTGTACTTCCTGAATCCAGAGCATGCTTTAGCCTCTCCAGGATGATGCGGCTTAAAAATGTCTTCCTAACTTCATATTATTAACTACGACAAAATTAGTAGTGGGACTCTCTCTCTCCCTGTCTTTCTCTCTCCCCAACTATCCACATAATATGACACTATAATGAAAATTATTAAACGACAGTTCAGTGTAGAAAATCTTCTTTTGAGTGAGTCATTTTCAAAAGGTATATATCGTAATCATACAATAAAATATACATCCATCAAGAGCTAATGGGTCAGTAGAAGGTCATCAAAACAGGCAATAAAGTCATAAAGGTCACAGAAATGAATAAGGCTATATCAGGGAGATTATGACTATGGCAAAAGTAGAGAGTGAACACAAACAGTAGAGTAGAGCTTCGAATGTATTGAGGTAGGGAATACACATTCACTTCGAAATGTTTGCCTTTACTTTAGAAATGACTTTGAAATGAGATTGTTGTCAAGGAGAGTGAATAGAGATAACCAACTGGTCAAGAATCGAGCTCTTGACAGCTTAACACTGTCTTTAAACACCTATACAGAATAGTATTTTATTTATTTATTTATTTAAGAATATTGATTGATTCAAGGTCATGCTTGCTTAAATTGTCTAAGGCATTAATCAGTTGATCCATTGAAATTATGCGACGTCCAGTAAGTGATATAAGACAACGAGAATATGTTAGACATTCATTACATGAGAATATTACGTGTAGACGACGTAATTCTAGTTTACCATTACATACTGTACATGCTCTTAGTATGAATCAAAATACATTGGATAATGATACAGACTTTTTATGTGATCGTATTATAGAATTTATGGAATCAGGTGATATATATAGTATAGTTTCAGTTGAATTAGCTGAACAAAGTATCTACTTTGAACGTTTATTACATTATCATAAAGGTAATGGTAATATACGTTTACCAGAATTTTTAAATCCTGGTTTTTCATCTATTTTAGAATATATCCATAAAGGTGTAACAGAGATTAATAATGATAATGTTTATCATATATTTATTGCTGCAGATTTTTTTCTAATTACAAAATTGAAAGAACAATGTACTAATGTATTGAAAGAGATTATTAATAATTCTACAATAGCTATTTCATTATGGTTAACATGTCATTCATTATATTGGCCTGAAATTAATAAAATGGTATATGAAAAGATATTAGATAATTTTGAAGTTATATGGAGATCAAAAGATTTTCAATATTTACATCCATATGATGTTTATCAAATTCTTAATGAAGATGAATTAAATTGTAAAGAAGAGAAAAATATTTTTAATGCTATAGTGAAATGGATTAATGAAAATATTAATACACGTATACAATATACACTGGAATTATTATTATGTATACGAATTGGAATGTTATCACCATTAGAATTTGATTATATAAGAAATCATGAATTGATAAGTATCATACCTGAATATTTAGATATATTAAATCAATGGCCAAATTGTTTAACAATGACTAATAATCCAATTATTAGTGTATATGGAAAATATTTTATTACACCAAGATTACCTAATGAAGTAAGTTATTGACAAAGTGTATCTTTCATAATGAATTTCAATTTCTGATAAAATTAACTAGACATAGTCATATCAAGATAGAACAGAGTATAGAAATAGCAATCAGTTGTCTACTTCAACTTTATCGATTTTGAGAAGGTCTTTGACAGCGTCGACTGAGAGGTAATTTGGAAACTGCTTCATTACTACGGAATACCACAAACCTTTATCAGCCTCATTCAACAACTATATGAAGACGCCACATGCCAGCCAAGTAATTCACAATGGGAAGCTCAGTGATGCTTTTGAAGTAAAGTGAAGACAGGAGTGAAACAAGGTTGTCTACTATCACCCATGATATTCCTGATTGTGGTCGACTCGACTAGATCATGCAGCAAACAGTGCGGAGCTGTGAGAAGAGGGGGATACGCTGACTTGACCAGGGAAAAGAACCTACAAGACTTGGACTTCACCGCCGATGACTTGTGTCTGATGTCACACAAACTTGAAGATCTACAGGTGAAAACTAACAAGTTGACAGAAGAGGTGGGGCAGGGCAGCGAAGACGGGACTCCAACAACTCCAACAACAACAACAACAAACTCCAATCACCATCAATGGGAGGAACTTAAAAGAAGTAACCTCCTTCATCTATCTAGGAAGCACTGTCTCAACTACAGGCATCGGTGGCACAGACGAGGATGTCGAAGTCAGACAGGATCGGAAAGACAGCAAGACAGGCGTTGATTAACCTGAAACCAGTGTGGAGATCTTCTGCACTGCACTCAGCATGAAGCGTGAACAACATCCGGATTTTCAATACCAATATCAGTCAATTCAGTGCTTGTATGTGATGGTTGAGAGACTTGGCACGTTACGGAAGGGATTTTTAATAAACTACAGACATTCATGACATCAACAACTGCCTACACTGTTTCTATACTGAAGATCAGATGGCCAGCATAACAAGAATAAGCACAAAGGAGATGTGGGAACGAACCAACCGAGAACCTATCACGCAACAAATATTCATTGGAAGGAAGTGGAGATGGGTTGGGCATGCACTGAGAAAGCCGACTGGGGACATCACGCGTCAGGCCAGGCACTCGAGTGGAACCGAGATGGGAAGCGACGAGTTGGGTGTCCCAGCTGAGAGTGACATGGAGGAGATTGTGTGAGGAGGAAATGAGAGCTTGTGGGCAGTGGTGGAGCTAGGTTCAAAAGATTGTAGAGAACAGAGTGCAGTGGAGACGTGCTAGTGAAGCCCTATGTTCCACTAGGAACCCAAGGGACTAATAATAAAATAATAATAAAGTCATATCAAGATAACTAACTAACTATACAACTGTGAAATATCCTTTATACGGTAGTCATTTCCTCCTACCCTTTGAAATGATACTGAGTAATAACATTTCTCATATATCCAAAACAAGTACTCAGTCATTCCTCTTGCTGTATGTATTAACTGTTAATTCGATTAACAAAAATTCACTTATCAATCACTCTTTCCATTGCACATCCTATTGTATGATTGTGTTTAATCGTATGCATAGCTATGGCTGAGCTGTTTTCTAAATTCCTTAACTTAACAGGATTCATCAATTTTAGCTTAGCCAGGGTTGTGTGATCGGATAGCCTAATTAACTGACCCTGATAGACTATTTCGACCCATATAAGTGACCTTACATAGTTGCAATAGATTTCATAAACTTAAAGCCTAGACTCAATCAATCAATATCAACACAGGACCAGGCATTACTGCGTAAAGGTGCGAGTTGCCACACCTCATATCACTACATCAAGTAGAAAGGTAGTGAGGTGATGAAGATGAAGATAAGAAAATTCAGTCAAAAGAAATATAAAGTACGAGAAGAAAGAAAAGAGTAGTGACAAAATGGTGAGATTCGCTATAGCGTCGTTTAAGAAGAGGATAATATGTGTATACATCTGCGCTACTGACATCGGTTCTGAGCATATAACCTAGAGTCTCTAACCAGAGCCTGAACCAGATGACATACACTTAGATACTAACATGTGGATTGCAATGACTCTGGAAGCAGGTAGAATTATTATTTGTTATTTTTCTTCCCCTTGTCAACTAGTTCACTAGTTACTAGCCAGTCATAAGCCCGGAGAAAGAGGGAAGGTTGGGCATAGGTTTAGCAACCCAATCGCCAAAGAAACTTCAAAGCGCAGACAAAATATAAAAACAAACTTATTCCTTGCTGGAATCGAAGAGACGAAATGATGCCGGTTGTTGTGAGCCTTAGGGAAGCAGTTAGAAACGAGCTCAATAACGACCATGAGCTTACACTACGAACTAAGGTATCGGTAGAGGAGAATATGTTAGGAGTACAATTAAGCCTGACCTCCACAATGTTTAAGTTTCAGAATAAAATATACAAACAAACAGAAGGAGTTGCAATGTGATCACCAATATCTTGGTTGTATTGTGTTCTCTGAGCTAGCTGGGGTGTTTAATCGTGAAGCTTTCATCGCCTTGCTAGACGACATCATCAACACTAACTTCACTATGAAGTTACAAGGGTGACGAAATCTCCATGATTAAACAACCCAACCAGCTCAGAGAACACAATACAACCAAGACCATCCACCTGAGCTACAAACATTCTCCACGATCACCGATATCTGCTATTGTGGCTGATATATTTGTGGATAGTTGGGAACGGCATGGCTGTAAAAACATTTATTCCAGCTCCAAGAATATAATTTTTCTCTAAAACTTTGAAACAGTAGTATTATTTACTTGATATATTTCGAACACAATTTATTGTCCATAGTCATGTCAGAGTAATCCTACAACGTTGACATATGATTCAAATTACCTTATATTCTTTATGATATAGATTGTAGGATTTCCTGCACATTCAAAATTGTTGCTGGAGCGGGACTTGAACCCTTGACGCATTGCTTGAAAGTCATCTTCCGAAACTAATGGTTGCAGAAGAAAGTAAGACTGACCAGATCGAAACGTGGCATCAATCTATAAAGTCGTATAGGGGAAACACTGACTAGATAACTGGACTGCTCAAGATGTTGAGATGTAAATGGTTTCGAAAAACGCAGAAAAATCGGCTTCCCATTCATTGATGAGACGATAGGAGAGTAACCAATTTCATGTTGTCTATTCCTGAGTGCAATGTCAATCCTATCAATCATATTTGCAATGTGGCCACTAGTTTGGTAGGCTGAGCATCGTCGTGAATATTAGTAGATATTAGCTTGCTGAAGGCAATCCACATGAAACTCTGCTTCACCTAGGTTTCGTGTTTGTTAGCACTCATTAGCAAGATGTGTTTGAAACCTTGAAGGAATTAATGTCCCACCTGAGATTCGGACTCGCGTGACCCATTGTTGTAGTCAGCAACATTACCACTGAACTATTCGGGACGCAACTGATCTCCTGTAGGGTTGGAGTTACATACACTGAGTGGTTACAGTACAAATATATTTATTTTTTATTACCACTGAAACTTGTAACATCTTGGTTGCATTGTGTTCTCTGAGCTAGCTGGGGTGTTTAATCCTCGAGCTTTCATCGCATTGCTAGACGATATCAACAACACTAACTTCTGTATGAAGTGAGCTGTCAATATCTCTCCGTCAGTGATATAGTTGCCTGATCTGACCAACTGGTTTGTGATTGGTTGTTTCCTTTGATTGTTGTATCATTGACTGACTGTATAGATTTTCCAGTTGGCTATCCCTCTGCTTCACCTCTCACCTTTCTCTCGTTTATCATTTTTCTTATTGGTTGATAGATTGCGTCTATATCTATACATCTGTTGATTGCTGACTGACCTGAATGCCAAGCTTCTAGAAATTCTCTGATATTCTTTGTGTTTCCTCTCTCCCTCCAAAATTTCTACATTGTCGAAATTGAATTCATGTCAATAATTATCCACGTGAATTGAAATGAGTGATGAAATGTCGTGGTGTTTAATAGCTATTAAACCAGCCAGCCAGCCAGAATGGGTTCCTTGTTGCTTATTCTCACTATTCTAGCCATCTGATCTTCACTAACAAGCCAGCGTGGACAGCTGTTGATGAATATCTGTAATTTGTTGGAAATGCCTTTCGTAACGCGCCAACTCTCTCAACCATCACACAGAAGCACTGACTTGACTGGATTGGTGTTGAAAATCCGGATGTTGTTCACGCTTCATGCTGAGTGGAGTGCAGTAGATCTCCACACTGGTTTCAGGTTAATGAACGCCTGTCTTGCTGTCTTTCCGATCCTGGCTAGCTTTGATGTCGTTCTCTATGCTACCTGTAGTTGAGACAGTGCTGCCTAGATAGATGAAAGAGGCTACTTCCCTCGAGTTTCTCCCATTGATGGTGATTGGAGCTTGTTGTTAGTGGTAGTGGTGGTTTAGTATCTTCATCACCTAAGCTACAAATATTCCCCACCATTTCAAATAGGAAATCATTCAAATTTTGACTTTCAAGTTCCTCTGACCAGCACATTACCATTGAGCCACTGGGGTGGAATCTAATGATGCATATTTCCTTCTTCTGTCAGTTCATGACAAAGTGCCACCCCCATCCAATGACGTCATTGAATAACTTTGATAACTCAAGGGAGAGAAAGAGAAAGGAAATGAAAAAGACAAGAAAGAATCAAGGTAAGAGGACATAAACATAAACTATTTCAAAGAGCGGATAGAAAAAGGAAGACTAGTGATGTGAATGATGACTGGAACACAACTAAATCGAGATTCAAAGTATCTATTGTATCACTACATAAGTAACAAAAATTTGAAAGTCTAGGTACGATTTTAAGTTAGACTCAGATTAGGATGGTAACCAAGCCTACAAATTCCCTTAATAAGTAAACTTTATCAGTTTATGGATCCGATTGACTCCACTAGAGGAAATAATAATATTTACAAAAATACTTTGTAATCCCTTCGGCGGTGAAGTTACATACATCAAACTAACCGACCGGAGTTAATCAGTTTAACTGAAAATATTGACCCCTAGCTACATTTACATTCCATTTAGGAAAGTGTGCAGGGATTTATTGATGTTAAAGCGGCGTTCATCACGTGCTAACTAATAGCAACATGACCTCCACGAAATCTGAAAAATTTATAGATAAGCTTACCCTATGATTACATATAGCAGTGATGGATAGTTATCAACAGCGTGTCTTGTCCTACATGAAACTCGTCAGCTGGATGCATATGCACCCGTGTGATGTCATCCCCACTGGGATTCGAACCCGGGACCGATCGCTTAAAACGTGAGGTCGTCACCCGCTAAACCACCGAATACTTGTGCTGGACCCCAGCTGTGGGTTATAACTGCGTAGTACTCAGGAGTTTCATACTCCGATGAAGCCGTCTAGATTAACAAAACTCCACCAAGATGAGTAATCTACTGAAGAATTCAATCATAGGTATGCATTCAACAATACATCACACAATGTAGTATAGGCAGCACTGTTTCAACTACAGGTGGCACAGAGGAGAACGTTAAACCTAGGATCGGAAGGGCAAGACAGGCGTTGACTAACCTGAAACCAGTGTGGAGATCTTCTGCACTCCACTCAGCATAAAGCGTGAACAACATTCGGATTTTCAACACGAATGTCAGTCAAGTCAGTGCTTCTGTATGGTTGACAGACTTGGTGGGTTACGAAAGGCATTTCCAACAAACTACAGATATTCATCACATCAACAACTGTCTACACTGGCTCGATAGTGAAGTTTAGATAGCCAGAATATTAAGAGTAAGCAAGAAGGAACTCGCTGTGGGAACGAACCAACCAACAACCTGTCACTCAACAAATATGCAGTGGAAGGAAGTGGAGATGGATTGGGCATGCAGTGAGAAGGCCGATTGGGGACATCACGCGTCAGGGCAGGCCGCCGAGTGGAACCCAGATGGGAAGCAACGAGTTGGGTGTCCCAGTTGAGAGTGACATGGAGGAGATCGTGTGAGGAAGAAATGAGAGCTTGTAGGCAGTGGTGGAGGTAGGTCCAAAAGATTGTAGAGAACAGAGTGCAGTGGAGACGTGCTACTGAAGCCATATGTTCCACTAAGAACCCAAGGGATAAATAATAATAAACAATATAGTAAGACACAGTGACAATGCAATTAGCTGAACAAACACCACTACTGAATCTCTGTTTATCAACTGGTTGTGTAACATGCTGTTAGTATCATTTACTATTCAAGATGATTTTATTATCCTTATGTTATCTAAAGAAATTTCTCCGATGTAATACTTGGCTTAGAATACTGGAAAAAAGCTCAAACTGTTTCGATGTTTAAGAGTTAGTCGATAGCAAATTGTTGAATTAAGGTTCTCAGCCTGTTGTAATGTACACTGCATAAACGTGTTGCATCTGAAAAAGAACTAAGCTATGGTATTCATCTAGAAATTCAGGTGGCTTGATTGATACTTACATGGTTCTATGAGTTAATGATTGGTGAGCCTAGACAATATGATTAGGCAAAAGCAGTCACTTGAACACCAAATCTTCATTTGAATTTTGGAAATAAATTCACATTTGACATTGATTAGATCAAAAAAAATGTTTTCATTGACAACCAGTATTCTGAGATGAAGCCTCTTTTCATCAGTTTACAGTTCAAAGAAGACACATAGGCAGATATACTGTGAAATAGTTTGGTGCGCTCATTGAGAAAGTTTTTCTATCCTGACAAATTTAGATTAAGTTCCTCTACTTGCTTAATGCTTCGTTTGTGAGTAAAAGATAAGCTAGTTCGCTTCACCGGCTTAATGTTTGTTCCCTACCTCCTGTGTTCACTTTTCTAAATGTATTCCTGAACAGCCTAGTTCAACAAAAGAGAAACGAAAGTACCTGATAGAGTTATTTCAGAATATTTGATCTATTATGACCATTTAGAAAATGCTCAAAGGAACTCCAGTGTTATCTATCGGGTTTGTGTACACTTAAAAACTTCTTCAGATTGTGGAAGCCATGGCAATTAATATTTTGAACACTGAAATCTGCATTCAAAAGAAATATGTTCAGTCACCTGAGTTGCAATTGATATAACCCCTACAAGAACATTTTCACCTTTAAAAATCTTTTCATTCAGATCTTCACACATTCCTATACTCCTAGAATTCTGATTTCTCTTTACATACACCCTGTTACATCATTTAACTTAGTAACTAAATATTAGTTCCGTCTTGAGAAGTTTTCTTTCTTCTCATTACTATTTCAAACATTATTCTTTTACTAATCTCCTAATTTATATATACTCAAATGTGAACTTCATTCAAAATATTTCATGAAATTATATCCCTCCTGTTCCTTGAAGGCACAAACCTTTCAGAGAGCACAAAAATTAAGCTTTCAAGTCTGATGGAACTCATCAACTTAGACCTGATAACATACTTCCAATTCAATGGCAAACTATTCAGAAGAGCGAGAACTCACTGCAGTACAACCCAACTTCACGGAAAAACAAAGAAAATTACTTGATGTCCATCCTAAAGAACAACCAATACCCACGAAAACTTATCACAACACACCTATCCACTACAACATAAACTACAAAGTCATCCACACAAATCAACAAACGCATCATCCTACCACACATAAAGAATATATCAGAAATCACAACAAGATTACTGAGACCACTTCGTGGAATTGGTGTGCCTCATAAACCAACAAATTCCCTCCAAACACTTTTATACGGACCAAAGGATACAACAACCAAACAAGACAAACCGAATATCATTTACAAAATCAACTACAACAGCTAACTGTAATCAACACTACATTGGACAATGTGGTCGACCTCTTCGCCTTTGTCACTCACATGAACACCAATTAGCTATTAAACATCACACACGACATTTCACCACTCATTTCAATTCACATGGATAACAACTATGGAACTGAATGGAATTCTGACAGTGTAGAAATCTTGAAGGGAGAGAGGAAACACAAAGAATATCAGAGAATTCCTAGAAGTTTGGCATTCAGGTCAGTCGGTCACTCAGTCAGTCATTCAACAGTCAACAGATGCATAGACATGATAGACCCAATCTATCAATGAATGAGAAAGATGATAAACGAGAGAAAGATGAGAGGTGAAGCAGAGGAATAGTTAACAGGAAAATCTATGCAGTCGGTCGATGATACAATAATCAAAGGAAACAACCAATCAGAGACCAGTTGGTCAGAGCAAGCTGCTAGATCCCTGATGGAGAGATATTCACAGCTCACTCACTCCATATTGAAGTTAGTGCTGATGATGTCACCGTCTAGGAAGATGACGAAAGCTCCAGAACTAAACACCCCAGCTAGCTCAGAGAACACAATGCAACCAAGACCATCCACCTAAGCTACAAATATTCTTCTCTATTTCATGAAACATCCGTTTTCTTTTACCACATGTGAATAGAATACTTATGTGCGATTGTACAGCTTGAGAATGATCTCGAGGAAAAAGGCGACTCTTCGCTAAACTTTCTTTTATGACGATCGGGATTTTTAAACTACTGAAAAACTTTATGAGTAAGCCAGTTAAAAAGCCTGTTATTAACTCGCTACTAACTGCCTTCCTTCGAAACATTTCAATGCTTATCCACACTACACTTTTTTTCACTGAATCCCAATCAATAGGTGGTAATGGTATTCGGAGGATGGTGTGATGGTGAAGGTCCTACAGCAGCTGTACAAGTTTACAATCCAAGAGCAAACATATGGACATTATGGACAGAAACTGGTCATCAGTCTCAACTACCAGCTAATGAATGGCTTAGTCGACTACTTCAAGACTCTTCTGATTTGACAATAGTTAATGAATCACAAACAAACAGCTTACAGAATGCTGTAGACACTGTTAACATAATTAATAATTTACGTAGTTCTCTGCCACCAGATGGAGTTAATTTGAAACAAAACAAAAGTGAACTGTTCACGGATAATATTGGAGTGACAGAGAATTCTGGTTGTTTAATTGGTGAAATTCCTAGACGTGTTTATGCTGGTTGTGTACTGGTTGACAAACGTGTTTATCTAGTTGGAGGATTTGATGGAAGCAATGCCTTGAAGTCTACTTTGTGCTATGATTTTGAGATAGATTCTGGTTGGTAAGTAATATTTTTTTTTCAAATTTTTTTGTGTACGTTTTATTACATTTTCCCCTGAGGATATTTTTTCGATATAAACAACTGGTTACTTTTAGTTATTTAAGTAGGTAAACCATTGACACGAGAAATTTCCGCCTTTGGAGGAAGAGCGTCTGCCCAAACAATGTATAACACATGGGAAACATTTGATTATTTCATATCCATAAGAATAAATAGTTGTAGTAAATTATGCAAAAGTATTTATTCTGGCGGTGTCAGTGGTATAAGAATATAAGATGTCAGGAATATCAACTTGTATGTCATCCTTAGTGTAGCCTGAAAAGAAGGTCTACCTGGTAGATACATCCTTCATGACCATAGATGAAGACAACTACGAGTATACCGATGAACAGTAAGGTTGTTTATCATTTCAGGATTTGCATTTCCCAATGAATGTAAAATAAGATAGATTTTTTCAACTAGCGTTTTGTTATTCATTGCTGATAGCTTTATCAAAGTTATAGTAAACGGGAACTTACAATATTTCCAAGCTCATATAGGATAAACTCACAAGTGACTGGCACGGGGATCTAGAATGCGCGTTCCGTCCTATTTGGGACTTGCCAGTGAGCTAGATGTATCTGCACTCCAGTGTGGAATGATGCTGTTCCCATTAACGCTCTAACCCATTATCCTTCACTTCAAACACCAGTGTTATCCGCTAAGCCGATGGAACAACAGATATCGCTTATTCTTACGATACTTGTAATTTCCCGTTGCTATACACGGCCGAATTTCTCGACCTCTGTTATCACATGGGCACCTGTGAGGAAGTCTTGATACTGTTCAATATTCATGATGATATACTGATCTTAACGACTAACAGAGGAATCCAGGACTCGTTTAGTTTAGTTTAGTTCTATTTGGGACAAGTGTTCTCGTGCATGAATGATTCTGCGTTGGAACAAATGTAGAATGAAGATTATATCCATACGTTGTGTGTGTGTGTACGTGTGTTTGATGTGTGAAGAGATTTGTATGTACACGTGTGTTGATAACTGGCGATGTCAGTATGTGTTGGTGGGTTGAGAACAAGTCAAGCTACATTTTACTCCTTCATTCCTTCCTATTTAGACAATTTGGATTCCACTTAATGTGAGGAGATTCTGCTGAGAGAAGTTATTTATAATTTCTACAGCTACCTTTCTAAATAATTTCGACATTATCAATGAGTCGACGTTGTGACCTGGAATTATCGCATGTAGAGATGTGGCTGAAGTCTTTTCAGTTTCATTAGATTTCTAGGGGGTCGAGTGGAAGTTCTTCGGTGTTCATTTCTCCTACTTTTGATTTCATGACAAGTTTTTCCTATCTACATTGTATCACAGTCTGATCAGTTTATTTTGTAAACACAATTAGAATATGAAGACTGTTGTTCAGGCCGATGATTTAGGAGTAGTTCTATGATCAGTGGCACGCCTCCATTACACTCTCTTCTCTGCAGTCTTTTCAACCTGGCTCCACCGCTGCCCACAAGCTTTAATTCCTTCCTCACACGATCTCCTCCATGTCACCCTCAGCTGAGATGCCCACCTAGCCGTTTCCCATTTGAATTCCACTCTAGGAACTGGCCAGGCTCGTGATGTCCCCAATCGGCCTTCTCAGTGTATGCCCAATCCATCTCCACTTCCTTCTGCATACACGTCGGGCGATAGGTTGTTGGCTGGTTCGTCGGCGGCCAGTCAACAAGAGTTCCTTGTTGGTTATTCTTATTATTTCTGGCCATCTGATCTTCAGTATCCAACCAGCGTAGGCAGCTGTTGATGAATGTCTGTAGTTTGTTGGAAGTGCTTTTCGTGACGCGCCATGTTACTGAACTTTATAGAAGCACTGACTTCACTGCGATTAGTGTTGAAAATCCGAATGTTGTTCACGCCTTATGCTGAGTGCAGAAGATCTTTACACTGGTTTCAGGTTAATGAACACCTGTCTCGCTGTCTTTTTCGATCCTGGTTTTGACATCCTCGTCTGTGTATCATAGTGTGATCAGTTTATTTTGTAAACACAGTCAGATTGTAAATCTAGAGGGATCTTCTCCTTCAAATGAATTAAGATGGTTTGAAATGTGTCTAATGTTCTGTAGAACACTCTGATGACATTGTATTTGTTGAGCACTCTACTAGTTTCATCCGATGTGTGTGTGTGATATGTATGTGATGAAGACTATTGTTCAGGCCGATGATTTAGGAGTAGTTCTACGATCTAATTTAATGTTATTTTCTATTTTCCGAATGAATTTCACTAGACAATTATTCATTTTAAGTATCTTGTTCGCATATTTTAATTCGGTAGCTGTTTCATTTTCATCCGATACTAGAGTATGTCCTCTCCTTAAGAGACTGGAAGTAATGGATGTGATGAGATGTTACCTAAATACTAGTTCGATTGCGTTGCTTTCCTGAAAATGGTTACATCCAAATGTCCATTTTCTTTTCACTTAACAAGACAGTTAAGGAAATAAAGTTCCCCTTTATCAGTGTCTGTTTCTGAGTTGAAATTTATACTGGGAGATCTAGTGTTCAGCTTGTCTAAAAATGTCTGGTATAAGTTGCGTTCTAAAACTATGAATGTATCATGCGTCAGCCAAATTTTTGACTTGGTTTGGATATCTATAAATCTGAACTTCGTTCAAAAAAATATTTCATGAAACATTCGTTTTCTGTTATTCCATGTTAACATTAGAGAGTGAAGTGGTTGAGTGTGTCGACCACTTCACTTATCTGGGAAGTAGGATCAGCCCTGGTGGGTCAGTTGCCGATGAAATCTCTGCACGGATATAAAAGGCTGGACTGGCTTTCGCCAATATACGCCACCTGTGGCGCCGCCTTGATATCCGTTTATTTATTAAGGGTCGCGTGTACTGCACACCAGTCCACTCTATGGCTGTAAAACATGGCAATCGAAGGTAGAAGACATGAGAAGGCTGCCTTGAGGTGTTTGACCACCGTTGACCAAGTTATGAACCTTCATCGACTGAGATGGTTGAGACACGTGTTATGTATGCCTAGTCACCGATTGCCTCATCACACAATGTTGACCGAAGTAGGTCCAGGCTCGAAAAAGGCCCAAGGTGGCCAGACTAAAACATGGCACCAATGTATGAAGTCTCTGACTGTTGGTTTGAGCCATGTGGGACGATGCAGACTAGGTGGTTCAGGTCCGCGGGACAAGAAGAATCAGTGGTTGGAGACTTTAGGGGATATGGCTCAGAACCGATGTCAGTGGGGGCAGATGTATACACACATTATCCTCATCTTAACGACGCTATATCGAATCACATCATTTTCCCATTCCTCTTTTCTTTTTTCTCGTACTTAGTATTTCTTTTGACTAAATTTTCTCATCTTCATCTTACGCCTCACTGCCTTTTTACTTGATGTACTGATATGAGGTATGGCAACTCGGACCGTTACGCAGTAATGCCTGGTCCTAGGTTGATATTGATGATGTATTGTACAGTTTGAGAATGATATCGGGGAAAAAAGTGACTTTCCGATAAACGTCTTTTTAGTTTTATGACTTAACTTCGGATTTACTAAATAATAAACTTTATAGGATATCGATTATCCAACAAAATGTTTAAGAATATTTCCCAATTCATTTTCCATGACTTCCTTGGAGCATAATCATAATCATAGTTACAACAAAATATGCATCCACCAATAGCTAATGGGTCAATACAAGGTCATCAAAAATGGCCAATAAAGTCACAGAGTGATAACGACTTGACGGTTAACTCAAGGTCAACGAAACCTGCTTACAGAATTCTAGTGAGTAAAGGCAGAAATCGATAAAACTATCTCAGGAGGATTATGATCAAGGCATCTTTTTTGAAATTGATTGGTTGCAAAGAAAATTTTCTCTGTTGAATTATTCTTTTATTAATTTTCATTATCTAATTGGACTATTTCAATTGTTAAACTCTAAACAACTGTCTTTTTTTTCACTTGAGTATATCTACACCTTTGTGCACCATCTACATCACAGTATTCAAGATGTAAATATAGATTACTATTTAGTAGGCTTGTTCAATGAAATCTAACTCTTAATCAGGTAACTTGACTTGCCAGGTAGATAACTTGATTTGTTAATTAGTTGGAGGCAAATAGCATGAAGCCCTTTTTCACTTCGGTTTCTTGTTTGTTGGCATTCGTCAGCGAGGAGTATCTGCAAGCCTGGTGGAACTGATGTCCCACATTACCGAGTTTTGTAGTGAACAAGTTTACCAATGAGCTAGATAGACAGATCAATGGATAATCTGGTCTTTAGCTCCCTAAAAAGGTTAGAATAACAGTCAGAGAATTAAAAGACTGTTGTCAAGTGTTTATTTGACCTCTCTAAGTCTTCTTCAGATAACTTCATCCTCTAACCTGCTTTACTTTACACCTACCCTTAATATTGTTCATCATCACATAAATGCAATGCTATGAGTTGTGAAAAACCTATCACCTTCTCTTATCTTCTACAGTACGACAGCAACAACTGTCATATAGTCTACTAGTCGTGAAAAAGGTAACAAACACAAGAAAGGTTGCTAGGATTCCTTGCACCGACTGTGGTAACCTCTGTAACCATAGTTGTTTTGAGAAATGCTTCCTCAATATTGAAGTCTGCAACTAGTTGCTTCATTTGACGAAGCAGTTTCGTGGGCTTACGATCACCAAGATGCACCACTCTGAAACGTTGTTGCACCTTCTGTTGGTCAGTAAGTGCAACGCGTTTGATGAGGGCGGTTTTGAGGTGGTCATACAGGTTTGGTGCTAGGTCGTCTAGCACATCTTCGATCACATTTTCTGGTAAGCTGACGACAACCAAGTTGGACTTAGTTTCTTGTAAGTGAATATGTCTCAAGGCAAATTGAGCTTCCACGTAGAAGAACCATGCGGATGGTCTATAAGCCCAGAAGGTGCGAAGTTGAAGGGTTATGGCCATCTGTGCAGTCGAGTCGTTGTCAGCCATTG